CAAAAACAAGTACATATATGTGAAAAATTATAAAATAGTCTAAGTTTGTTTTATTTTCCTAGCAATGGTGTTCCTGAACTGTTATCACAGATAGCATTGATTCTGGCAAACCATATGTGATGTTGTTTAAGGTTAGGGAGAAGCCTTGGGTTGACCTTGAGGGTGCTCCATTTGCCGATGGACTTCTTATCTATGCTGTATTCCTCAGATAAATTAATATCAAACTTAATTTATTAATTTTAGTAGTGTGTACATTTCCTCCGAAATTCGTCACGTTTGAAAAAGGAACTAACAGAATGTATGGCAAAATACTGAAGAAAAAAAAGTATTACAAAACCTACAAGTACATATTTTATATGAAATTGTACTTATCTCAAGCTTTGTGAACAGATTTCTGAATTAATAATGTATATGGCCAACCTTTTAAATTCTCAAGAGTTTATATATGTGCTAAAAAATAGAAGATTGGTTAATGTTTAATTTCTTAGGGTATATATATATTGTATTTAATTTTCAAAAATATTATCCATTCTCCGATATGCTCTATATTCTTTGGTTAAAAAAAGAAATCACAAACTGTTAATTTGCATTTGTGTGTGTGTGTGGTTACAGTCGGTCATCCTGCCAGTTTACAATGCTGAAAAATGGTTAAATGACTCTCTGAAATCTGTAGCAGAGCAAATATTTACAGGAAAAATGGAGTTGTCCGTTTTCAATGACAGTTCCACGGTGAGTTATTTCTATTTCTATACATTGTAGCTCATGAGAGAAAAGATGCTTTACACCAAGACCGTTTATAATAAAGTAAAATAACCTATGTTAGAGTCTGCATATTTTCTGATATTGATATTAAGCCTGTTGGGCATAAACCTAATCCATTAATAATCAGTTAATAATAAGTGGTTATTATGATTTTCTACTTTTACTAATATTTTTATCTGTAGAAAATTGTTGCTGGTTTATTTGTAATTAAATAATGATAAATGAACCTGTTTTAAAAACAGACAGATTTGAAAATTAATTTCTAACATAATAATACAAAGAGTAGTGTTTTTAATTACTTTACATTGTATGTATTTATGTTCAGTATTGTAATGTGTTCCATTGTTGGACAGGTTCTTTTGGATTATTTGGTAAAATAATGCTCATTCCAGTCCTTGTAAAGAAAAATAATTAATATGTTTCTTCAGTACTGTTTGCTACTGACTGTATTCTCTTCATAAACAATGTCTCAACAGAAACTCTAAAACTCACAAATAAACTTACTTGCAGAATTTCCTTGCTAATGGATCAATAACTAAAATGCTGTTTAACTCACCGAATAATTGAAATACAGACAATTAATACACAGTGATTCTCAGTCACTAATAAACACTAAACTTATAAACTAAATCATTTAGCAATTCAAATATTCAGTCTTATATTGTAATCTTATTTTTACAAAGTACAGGAACATCATAGATCATGATGTAATGTATAGCTTCCTCTAGTAAACAAACATCTAAATTAAAACATTTAAATTGTCGCTTATAACAGTATTACTATACTAGGTTATTTTGAACAGAATTCATTTTATCTGTCAGATCAAATCTTAGCTATGTTTATCTGTTATGCAGTAATTGGAAAAATAAACTATTTTCACCCCCTAAATTTATCCAAACAGACACTACAGAATAATCAATAGACAGTATGATTGTTTTAATAAATCACTAGAAATTCAGAATTTATAAAAATCATATTTTGTTTGAAAACAAACATTCTTTAATCAGCCATCTCTACTATATATATATTTACTTCAAGCGGGTTCCTCGTCATGATGATTTATGTCTGTCTGTTATATTCGAACCAGCCTGAAGAGCTCTGGTATTGATAAAGAGGAACTTTAAACTGTCATAATTACCATACTAATTTCTTGGTGCAACAAAAGGTTTTAATACAAATATCATGTCTTTTACACCATTACATTGTCATATATTATCTCTTTCCTGTGCTGGATTAGGAGCACATAACTTAAAAAAAAAAGACAAAACTTCAAATCTGAAAGCTGTTGGTTTGTAAGGAACATTTCATTGTTTTTCTTTTATTTCCTTAAAACTTTTTAAAATAATATAATTAATCAATATTAATTTTTTAGACTTACTGAAGGTTTTCTGTGAATAATACAAGAAAGAATATTTAGTATATTTCAAGTTTTTCATTTTTTATCTCTTCAGGATAGCTCCAATGAAATCCTCGAAACATGGATACCAAAACTAAAGGCTCTAAACATAAAAGTTGTGTATAAACAACAGGAACATTCTAGTCCCAAGGGTGGTAAGATGGGATACAATCTTTCTGAAATTCTTTAACTTAATTTATTCATGTTATTGAAAAAGAAGTTTTATGCACAATACTGTCCTCCAGTGGGACAGCAGTAAGACTTTGGATTTACAATCCTATAAATCAGGGGTTTAATTCCCCCTCAATGGACACAGCAGATAGCCTATTGTGTCTTTGCGATAAGAAAACACACAAACACACAATACTTATTTGAATGGGTTCTATCAAATAATTTAAGAAGTAAAGAATGTTCAAGAACTTGAAACTTTATTATTTCTGAAGTGTCAGTGTTTAGCAAAAGAAATTATGGAGAAAACATTTATTAATAAATATTAAGGTTTAAATGTTTGAAAAAATCATAAAGGTTTTGAGAATGCAGTGAAAGTCTTCTCTTTGTCAGGAATATTTCCCTGGATCAGTATTTTAGTTTACTATTTTAAAAGTTTATGTTTATTATTTTTTTGCATATACATAACTTTTTTTTTTGCTAATTTCAATACCATGTATGAAAATAGCTCAGTAATGTTTTTATCCAACAATAATTTTTGTTACCCTACTCCATGTTGAACATGTGTACTCGGAACCCCTGTATATTCTAATCCTTAAAGGATTTTTTTCATAGCCTAATTTAAATGTAATAGTCTTTACTGCCTGACCAAGAGTGTCTGTCCGAAATTTTGCACAAAATAAAACAAACAAAAAAAGTTTTTATTTAGACATGTGCACTTTGACCCTCCTTTATCCAGAGCTCCACAATTAATCGATTAGCGAATTTCACCAATTGGACAGCTCTATTTCTAAGTGTAATCAACTCAAGAATTGTAAATTTATACATTTAAGTGGATAATAAGTACTTGTGTATTTTATGTTGGACTTTTGTAGCTTATTTAATAAATGTAGGCTGATGGAAAATTGACTGATTTGACTGAAAAGTTCCAATATAATACTAATCAGAAGCCAGCTAAGTATATAACATTGTTACGACAGTGGGGGTCACGTGACGAGTATTCTAGAAGATTCGCTAGTGCCTTTAACCAGCCAGAAGTGTAACAGTGAACCGTATGTAAAACATGCTGAAGAATTATAGAACAACATCTTACACAGTATTATGTACTATTCTCTATATATGTTTAAAAATTTAACCAGTAGTGCTGAAACTGTTTTGTTTACTTGTTTATTCAGCAGTTCGTGCTAATAACGAATGAATAAATTAGAAGATTTCCGACTAAGCATAATATTTATTGGTCTTGTTCTTTTATGAACATAAATCATTTCTGTAAGAAAGTCTTAAGTGCAAAAAACAACAAGTGGCTCTCATTATTATATTAAAAACATCTTTAAATAATAGTAATTCATCAAAGCAAACAGAAAATCACCCGAGTTGTTGAGTTCTTTTATCATGCTACTAGATTATGTCTAAATATGTTAGAGTACCAATAAATGTTCTTTTTTATTTCTATAAAACTTGTAATTTAATCAGCTCGTTAATACAATGGCTATAAAACCCTAGTTTTCTGTTAGATTATGTAAAACATTGTCTCCAACTACATTATCTAGATCAATGGTATAAACCTAAGTTAATTGGTGGGCCACATATGGGATCCTCGTGGGCCAAAAGCCACTAGCAACAGAACACTGCTTGGATTGCTTTTGAGACTAATTGACTGTTACACCAAAATCCCTTTCTTTCATGACACTGTTAAGGTTATTCCCATCCAAATTATACTTATAATTCAAATTATGATAACCCACATGCATTATCTTGCATTTATTATAATTAAAACCCATCTGCAAATTTATTTGCCCAACTCACTAAATGATCTAAACCTTTTTTTAAATCAGCAGCATCCTCTTCACAGCTAGCTACACCCAAGATATTATCTGCAAATTTAACTAATTTATTGACTATTCCTTCATCTATATCATTGGTGTAAATCAAAAAGAGCAAAGGTCCTAAGACTGAACCCTGAGGTACCCCACTTATGACATTAATCCAGTTTGACTGAACTCCATTTGTAACAACCCTCTGCTTTCTTCCGTTGCCCCCCCCCCCCAGTGGCATAGCGGTATGTCTGCGGACTTACAATGCTAGAAATCGGGTTTCGATACCCATGGTGGGCAGAGCACAAATAGCACATTACGTAGCTTTGTGCTTAACTTCAACAAACAAACAAACTTTCTTCCATCAAGCCACTCTACTATTCAATTTGCTAACTTATCTCCCACACCTATAGAGAGAGATTTTTTACTAGCCTTTTATGTGGCACCTTGTCAAATGCTTTCTGAAAAATCCAGATACACCAAATCTACACCCTTACCCTCATCTACATAAGTAGTAACCTTTTCAAAGAATGTTAAAAGACTTATAAGGCAAAATTTAACATTAGTTGAATTGATTTGAATTAAGTTTGATTTAATAGGCTACGTGCATTATACTCAACTTAAGTTTCTGTGAGTTGCTACAAGATAAATGCTTTGTCTAAATTTTCCCACGTGTAAAGTAATAGAATTGTATTCTCTAGCCATCTATAAAGTAAAAATTGTGCTGATAGACATCTATAAAGTAAAAATTGTGCTGATAGACATCTATAAAGTAAAAATTGTGCTGATTTTGCCTGTGTTTTATAATTTTGAAATAACATAATGGAAGTTTGAATGTATATGATTTTTTTTTCTTATTCTAGTTATTGGTCCGTGTGAAAGGAACAGTAACAGACACGATATCCAGATTAATTTATAGTCTTCACTATATGAACTGTGACATGTGAGGTTGTTCTTTGTAAGATTTGTATCATGGATGTGGTGAGTTATAGTAAATATACATCACTTAGTTTCATGTATGTTTAACTGATCAACTTCAAATCAGGGCAAAGGAAAAGGTATACAGTTTAACATAGTATTTACTTAGGGCAAATAGGATTTTAGGTTGTATCTATAGAAATATTGAATACAATTCTAAGAGGTTATACTTTCATTGTACAGGTCACTGGTTAGGCCACATTTGGAATAGTGTGTTTAGTCTTGGGCTCCTTACCTTAGGAAAGATATTGAGTTCTTGGAAAGGGTTCAGAGAAGGGTTACCAGAATGTTGCCTGGGATGGAGGGGTTGTCATATGACGAGAGGCTGAAATCTCTCAAATTGTTTTCTCTTGGAATAAAAGAAGAGTTAGGGGGATCTGATTGAGTTGTTTAAGATTGTAAAGGGAATTGATAGTGTTGATGTATCATCTTTTTTATATTTAACAATGAGAATAGTAGGACTAAGGTACACAAATATAAATTTTGGCAAGGTAGGAGTCATCTTCAGTTAAAGACATTTTCATTTTTCTAACAGGGTGGTTGGCCTTTCAAATGAGTTGCCTTCAGATGTAGTAAATTTAAGTGAGTTTAAGAGAAAGCTTGATAAGTATATGAATGATAAGGGCTTTAAGCATTTTTTTAAATATATTTATCAATAGTATTAGTTTAATTTAAAAGATGGAACAGCCAAGATGGACAAATAGGTCCTATGTTGTTCCAAAACGTTATGTTAATACTGTTGTAAGCCTACTCTGTGACGATATCAATGGACATTTAAGGTCATCTCTTTTGGAAATATGATTAATATGCATCATAGTTTCATAATATAAATGGCAACAGTATAGACATGAACAACTGATACATTTTATCCAAAGATCACCAAAATCGTTCCTAAAGAGCTACAAGTTATAGGCATAAATGTACCAATTCCATCCATATAGAATTGTGCTACAGAAGATAAAAATCCAACCACAGGTTTGAGATGCATGGTGAGGACTTTGCACAAGTAAGTCACTACATCTCTGAAGGGTCTAATGAGCTAAAATAAAAGCTCACTCTATTTAAGGTAGTACCACTTCCAAGGTCATCCTTTACAATTATGAGTAGCCAAAGAACAGCAACCAGTATTGACAGTGAAGCTGCCATAGACATTTTTCAAATTTGGCCACAACTATTTATTGTTCGCTACTATTCTGTAATACTGTTAGAAATGTTACTTGTGCATTTATGCATGTAACTACTGTCACTGTGGAGAGATGTTGGTTATTACGGTTTAATATTTTTCAATACTTATTGGCTACACCTTTGCAATTAATATTTTTGGTTTATGACGTACATCAACAAAAGTTTCAGAGGACAAGACATTGGATTCTCTCAATGATCATATTACCAGTAAGCACTAAATACTTATTTCCATTAATTATTTTCTTATATCTCTATTTCTAAGGTATTTGCCTGTAAATGGTCTTCCCAACAACTCATATAAGTATTCTCTTTCTGTATACATATTTTAATCCAAACTCTGAAGAAATTTCCAAAAGAGCATACATTAAGAATGTTTCACAAGCTGCTCCTAACACTAGCCTAAGCATGTTTACATAAAATTAATGTTGTACTGGTCAAGTATTTATTAAGTACACAGGTATGTGAGGCAAAGACGAAAATGTCGCTTATAAATGAGAAATGTATTTTTCCTTACTCATTATTAAATGAGGTAATTCCAATAAGAAGCACATACACTTGTGAAAGTTAAAGTTATTCAAATAAATATTTGGAAAGTGTAAACATTTAACAGTAATATGTCTCAAACAAGCTGCGTATAAAGCTAACTAGTTTTTCACTCATAACTGTAAACAATTAACTGTCGAAAAAATTTGTCTTTGTATACTTATAATTCTGATCTAAAGCTCCAAAGTATGAATAAATATCAATCTCTAATTTTCAAGTCAGGAGCATAAACAAATGTACTTTACTGTATTCCAAAACTGACAATTTATTTGTTGAAAGATGTTTGTAATACATGAAAGTATTTACAAAATGTGTGTGAAACTTTATTGAATGGTAGTTTGAAATCATTTGAAACACATTACAGTGTATCTTCTAAGCTGTTAGACCATTGCATACATTTACAGTTGTATTTTACCACCTTCTATCCCTTCTCCTGTTATCATATCTGTTCCAATCTTCCGAGTCTCTGAATCTTCTGCCACGTGGTTCTCGGCTTCTGTAATCGTCTCTCCTTCCTTCTCGTGGATTTCTTGAACCTGAATAACTTTGCTCTCGGTTCCTGTAATGGTTTCTTTCACCTTCTCTCCACCTGTTCCTACCGTGATACCGATCTTGGTACCTACAAGGATAAGTTTACTTTGTTTTACAAACAAGTACATGTATAAAAGTTACCTTCAGTAAATGACTTCTGCTATATAATACCTTTTATGCAAATAAATCTGCAAATAAACCAGCAGATGAATAAGAGTGTATGTGTGGCTCCTTTTGGTACTGTTTAGTTTTAGAATACATCTCTGTTTTGTTTGATTAATATCATATTGTAGCATTAGAACAACTTGGAATGTTTGTCATGTAATCTACTGGCACCACTGAAAAGCATATAATAAAAACTGTACCAGTCATCAGATGATTACCACATCATCACTTCAACTTAGAGAAATTCAAACTCTTCAAAATACACTCAGCAAAAAAGATAATCAAAATACTTCTTACCCATACAAATGCTTCAAGCCTTTAGTTTCTACAAAATGGCTTAAAACCATGGAGATATATAAGCATTATTTTTTTGCATTGCAAGTAATTTTGACAGCACTTCCTAAGAAAGGTTTTGACTTAACCAACCTCCAGTTTAATAAACAATTAATGAGGGTAGTAGAATTACAGTTAGCATCCCTTAAGAACACAGTACAGTTTTTACTGTCATGTCTGAATTCAGATTTATTCTTACTAATACATGCAAATATTGTTAGTAACTTAACATCTGTCATTATTCTGTTGTACTACACTTGTTCAGTATTTATATTTAAAAGAGTTTTGTTTGTTGTTATGTACAATACTACACTATGGTCTATCTCAACTGTGCCAACCACAGGTATTGAAACCTGGTTCTTTAGCATTATAAACCTTCAGAATTGCTGCTGAGCCACTATCAGTTAGTAAGAAAAGAGTATAAAATGTTACTAAAAACTGGGACATCCAGCTTTAGAACACAAATACTAAATAAACTGATACCTTGTTAAAAATAGTTGTTCATTTCAGTATGTGATAGATAATATAATTCAGTGAAAACAAATTCCTACAAAATCAGACAGTACATTTAATATTTAGTAACAAATTTCAATAATATTAGATGTTCTCTTTATATTGATTATAATAATTCATAAGATGGAAATCAGAATGTTACAAGAACTATTAAAAACAAGCATGCATATACTAAAAAATCATAAATTAGCAAAGTTTCAGAATTTTCTTCTAACTCCAGCATCAGCATAAAAAAATGT